ACGTAGGCGTGCCAGCCGCATTGAGCTTTCTAGGAACCCTCTTCACAGGCGTACCAGCTGGGCTCGTTGTGTCTGTAGTCACCGCTGATGCCTTCTTAACAGGGGCGGCTTTGGTTGCTGGCTTCACTGGTGTCGCTGTCGTGGACTTCTTCGCAGTCGGTCCTGCGACTTTGGAGACGCTTCCCACGCTCGCTGTAACCCTCATCTCAGCATCTCAGCATACTTGTATCACGTTCATCAGCTTACATTGGAGCGCTGCGTTCTGCTGCTTGATTTGATCCAAGGCGGACATGATGCGTTTGATGGACTTTTGGATGATTCGAAAAGGATTAATGCATTAAAGATGCTACGGATTCTACTCTCAACCTGCCCACTTTAGAGCTGGATCTAAATTATGTTTCTAGGTACTGCTGTTGTGCCACCTCCTACGTCATGCCTTCTCCTCATCCCTGTCGTTACAGAGATGCCAATGTGGCCCAGGCTGCGGAGAGATCCTGTTTTCGCGGACACGGGACGATCATCGTGGCGGAGCCCAGCCCGTTTGGACCCTTGCCCTTGCCATCTCCGATTAGATTGCAACACCACAGCACAACCATATCACACACCACATGTAAAGTCAAACAACGCCGTCTTCGCCAAGCAGAATAGCACTACAACCTCCACTAGTAGTCCTAGAGTAGTCGCTCGCCTCAACCTTCACCTAACCCAAAGGCCACTTGCGTCACACCACTCACATCTTCACACAGAACAACATTTTGCTTTTTGAACATTTCATCATTCGTCAAAAGTAACTACCTATGGGCAAATCTACCGAAGATACAGTTCGGGATATCCATTTACTCGTGATGCATAAAGGTCCACCACTCTAAGACTCCATCGAAGATTAAGCTCCGTCATCATGCAAAAGATGTAGAAAGAAAAGGAAAGCCATGACACATGAAAGGGATATCAAAGCGCCGACCAAACTTTTTGAAACCAGGCGACACAGGCGACACGCTTAGTCGACCTCCTCCATGGCGCTCTCGCCAGCGGCGGCGGGTGCCTCGGTTGAGGCCTCACCCTTCTCCTGCTCGGTCTCAACCTCCTCGTCGACGTTCAGACCAAGAGAGACGAGCTTGTGAATGCGCTCAGCGTACTGAACAGGCTCGTCAATGGTGAAGCCAGAGACAAGGAGAGAGGTCTCGAAGAGAAGGAGGGTGATGGACTTGACAGTGCGGTCGTCCTCACCGTCAGCCTCAACCTTGCGCTTGAGCTCCTTGATGATGGCAGACTTGGGCGAGATCTCAAACGTCTTCTTGGAAGACATGTAAGAGCTCATAGAGGTGTCACGGAGGGCCTGGGCCTTCATGATACGCTCCATGTTGGCTGACCAACCGAACTGGCCGGTACGGATGGCACATGGTGAGCCGACAAGCTTGTGAGAGACAACAACCTTCTCGACCCTGTCGCCGAGGACGTTCTTCAGGCTCTTAGCCAGACCCTCGTACTCTTTCTCCTCAGCCTCACGGGCCTTCTTCTCCTCCTCGGACTCCTCAAGCTCAAAGTCCTTGGTGATGTCGACAAGCTTCTTGCCGTCGAACTCCTTGAGCTGAGTCATGGCGTACTCGTCAATGGGGTCAACGAGGAAGAGAACCTCGAAGCCCTTCTCCTTGAGAGTGTCGAGGAAGGGCGACTTCTGGACAGCCTTGAGCGACTCACCAGTGATGTAGTACATCTGCTTCTGGTGCTCAGGCATGCGGGTGACGTAGTCAGTGAGGGAGGTCTGCTCCTCACCAGACTTGGTGGAGTTGAAGCGGAGGAGCTTGGCGAGGGAAGCGCGGTTCTGGGAGTCCTCGTGGATACCAAGCTTGATGTTCTTGCCAAAGGCAGAGTAGAACTTGTCGAACTGCTCGCGGTCCTCGGCAATCTCGTTGAAGAGCTCGAGGGTCTTCTTGACAATGTTCTTGCGGATGACCTTCATGATCTTGTTCTGCTGGAGGGTCTCACGAGACAGGTTGAGGGGCAGGTCCTCGGAGTCGACGACACCCTTGACGAAGCTGAGCCACTCAGGGATCAGGTCAGTAGCATCGTCGGTGATGAAGACACGGCGGACGTAGAGCTTGATGTTGTTCTTGGTCTTCTTAGTCTCGAACAGGTCGAAAGGTGCGCGCTTGGGAACGAAGAGGATGGCACGGAACTCGAGCTGACCCTCAACGGAGAAGTGCTTGACGGCAAGGTGGTCTTCCCAGTCGTTGGATAGCGACTTGTAGAATGAGGCATACTCCTCAGTGGTGATGTCTTGTGGGTTGCGGGTCCAGATGGGCTTGGTCTTGTTGAGCTCCTCCTCCTCGATCTTGGACTCCTTGACCTTCTTGGTCTTCTTCTCCTTCTTCTCTTCCTCCTCGTCCACCTCCTCAACCTTGGGCTTCTTCTCGTCACCCTCCTCAACCTTCTCCTCGGTGGCCTCGTCATCCTCAACCTCCTTCTCGGTCTCCTTCAGGACGTGAAGGTAGATGGGGTATGAGATGAACTCGGAGTGCTTCTTGACAACCTCCTTGATCTTGCTCTCGTTGAGGTAGTCCATCTGCTCATCCTTGAGGTGGAGGATGATCTTGGTACCACGGCCGATCTGCTCGCCCTCGGTGTCCTCGGTGATCTTGAAGGTACCACCAGCACTTGACTCCCAGATGTACTGCTCGTCATCGTTGTTCTTTGATACGACGGTGACGCGGTCAGCGACGAGGTATGCGGAGTAGAAACCAACACCGAATTGACCAATCATGGAGATGTCGGCACCGGCTGACAGGGCCTCCATGAACTGCTTTGTGCCTGAGCGGGCAATCGTACCCAGGTTGTTGATGAGATCGGCCTTGGTCATACCAATACCGCTATCTTGGATGGTGAGGGTCTTGGCCTCCTTGTTGGGGATGATGTCGATGCGAAGGTCCTTGCCGCTGTCAAGCTTGCTTGGGTCTGAGAGGGCTTCATATCGGATCTTGTCGAGGGCATCGGAGGCGTTGGAGATGAGTTCTCGCAGGAAGATCTCCTTGTTCGAGTAGACGGTGTTGATGATGAGACCGAGCAGCTGAGAGATCTCAGCCTGGAACTCGAAAGTCTCCCCAGACATGGTGACGGGTGTGTGAAGTGTTCGGAGCTGCAAACGGTAGAGTCAGACGATGTTTTTTTGCAGCAAGTGATGGAAAGAGTAGACTAGATGTGCGGCTGATGCGGGGAAGACAAACAGTATGAGCGGGGTAATTGGAGTATTAGGCTCTTCTATTGGGCGAGAAAAAGAGCAAATTGCAAGACTGCAGTGTCTATGTGGTGAGAGAGAAAGAGAGCAATTTAATGAAGAAAAACGCAGAGGAGGCTCATGTTTGGGGCTCATATAGCCTTTGGTGGAGCTCGAGAATCTTCTAGACAGCATGGCAGAAAGGCAGAGAAGGTTGTCGCCTGGCCAATCAGCGCCCGCCTGCGCCTGCAATCGAGCCTCACCGCCAAACACGACTTCCCCGCCCTGTCGAGACGCGTCCACCGAATTCCACCACCATCGCTTTCTCCACGCCCTGCTATCCATTCGGTCCGTTGGCAACAAGGCTACAAATAATTATAGCTTCATCGCATGCCTGAAATAGAGCAGCACCTCCGCATCCGTCCTCCGACACCCCAGCCTTCACGTACGCGACCCCGCCGAGACTCACACCACTTGCACAACAACTTGGACTACGAGACCTAGACAATGAATCGGCGGCCCTCACGGGTATTGGTACATTGCAGACACGTATCATACATAAATCGTGTCTTAGCATGATGGATTCGTTAGATAAAGGTCCTCATGAACTCTCCAAGTGCCATAATGGCCATGGCCTGTCCATACGGCATGCTAGTAATCTTGATGTCCTTGTAATGCTGTAAATCATGACCCATGGCCGTGCCAAAGCTCGTCTCTGTCAGCTCGCCCTCGGCATTGATCTTGCCCATGACGGCCTTGATCGCCTTTACTGCGCTCTCCAGGAACACGTCTCCGCTAATATACCGCTTCCGGCACGCCTTGAGCATGCCGTATGCGAAGCCCGCCGTGGCTGATGACTCTTCATAACTGCCCTCGGAAATGGGAATGTCGAGCAGGGTACGCCACATGCCACTCTCTGCTTGACATTTGACTAGCGCCCGGCATTGCGACTCAAGAATTCCCACGAGGAACTGCCGTAGCGGATCACTCTCCTTGAGATCTAGAAGTTCAATGAAATCCGGGATAGCAATCGTGAGCCACGAGTTTCCGCGTGCCCATCGTGCTTTGCCAAAGTTGTGTCCGACCTCCAATCCACCCTTATCTTCCCACTTCCAGCCGTGGTAGAACAAGCCAGTGCTTGTATCGCATAGGTACTGGCAGTGCAGAATGAATTGGCGCTTCGCTTCTTCTACGTACTCTGGGCGGTTCAGGGTAAGACCAATCTTTGCCAACGGCAGCGCGCTCATCATCAGTGTGTCATCCCAGAGCTCATCCTTGTTGAACGAGTTGTACGTCTCGTGCTGGAATCCGCCAAACTTGGTGCGGGGCAGCCCGTGCATGACCCACTCAGCCCAGGTGTCCAGCCATGGAACAAATGTCTTGTTGCCCGTCTCTTCGTACAAGTATGCCAATGAGAGGAATGGGCTCATTGTATTGATATTCTTGGTCGTGCCCTTCGCGAGTTGCTTGTCAAACCAGCCTTTTATGATGTCGAGTGTGGCCGTGCTACCCGTCAGCGTGTAGTAATGCCATAGCCCGTACAGTCCAATTCCGTGAGTCCATTCCCAGCCATCCCAGCCCTTGGTATCGATTATGCGTCCATCGTCGAGTTTGAGTAGGAACTCGCCGGTTGTGTCGTGAATGTTGATCAGGTTGTGAGTTAGGAGAAGGATCTTCTCATCTATCTGGCCTTTCGTTAGACCATGCACTGTGAGTGTTGACATGGCGGATGTGGATTCTGAGATGTTTGGTGAATTTGGAATGGCTGCTCTTCGGCAGTGGAAACTAGATATCGAGCAGCAAAATCCCAATTGTTCTCACGAAGTGCATAAGAAGAAGACGAGAAGCGGAGGCGCGACAGGTTATCAACACGCGTAGTCCAGCGGGTAGGTATTGGGCCAGACATGTGAACCAAGCCCTACAGAGTGGGGTCACAGACCGGGGCAACTCAGAGACTCCGACTGCATACCTCAAGACTTGGTGTAAACCATTGCCAGATTTTCGTGCCAATCTGCACCGAACTTGTTCATTTCTGTACCGACACAGGCTTGGCACACGTGGATTTCGCACCAGCTTCTTGGTCCCTGGAAAGCCACGACTCATCCCCGCATCTGAATCAACACCAAAAGACTAGTCATTGTGTGTTGAAAGGCCACAGGAAGATGCCTTTCGCATTCGCCATGTATTGCGCCGACCCTCGTCGATCATTACGCCGACTCCGCGGGAGGCTATTGCGCAGGCGGCCAAGATCAGCAATGAACCGTCAAGGGAAACACGGCCGCCGTTTAAATAGCCCTTGCTAACCGACTCGCATCCAAGCTGGGGAAGCCAGCCGCCATCAGCTCCAGCCCGAAGGAATATTTCCACCAGCCATCAGGCAGCTGGTGGCCTACCACTCGCATCTTCGGCATCATGTGTGCCGAGACAATCCTCTTCCGGGAGACATGCCAAGTCGTGGCTTTCTTCACAGTGCTTAATCCTACGTGCTTGTCTCTCCCCATTGTAGGCCACCACGCAAATTGTGTGGATACCAGGTCCGTGGGGTTGCTGACCTTAACAAAAAGCGACTGAGGTTGCAGCAATGGCGCCCATTTGGCCGGGCTAGCAGCAGCACGCCTGTGAAGATCATTTGCTATGCTGGGGCGGGGCAACCGATGAGGTGACTATGTTCAACCGTCAATACAGGCCTGCCGTGAGGTAGTGTACATGCCCCATTGTATGTGATTTGCGGAGGAGCCCGCCGGGGTACGGGGTAGGCTGGGGTACGCTCGGACGCACCAGACATATGATCCGGGTAGAAATATCATCTCAAGTGGCCCTCCAACTCAGCACCTCACCGCAAGTGTTGGGGCACTTTAGCTTCCATCCCTATTTCCTTCAATTGCCAGTCCCCGAAAGGCTTTCAGTATGGCTGCTGCTAGAGACAGCGCCGACAAGGTGCAGGGCTTGCCTGCCACTGCTGGCCACCTCAACGATAAGGATGTCAACGAGGTTGAGCGTGTGCTGTCGGCTGGCGACGAGAAAGGCGAACATGTCAACTACGAACGTATCGATCGAGAAGTCGCGCAGTATGTCAGCGAGACTGAAATATACATCTCGGAAGAGGAGAACAAGCGATTGAAAAAATTGATCGACAGGCGTGTGCTTCCTATCATGGTCTTCACCTATTTTTTGCAGGTAATTATCCTCAACGGATTATCTCGTCTCTTTCTAATTCAACAAGTCTCTCGATAAAGGCACCATGTCCATGACTTCCATCATGGGTATCCGCGACGATATTCCAGTCCTTCATTCAAAGCAGACAGTGAGTTCCAAAGCATACAGAAGTCTGCACGACACAAAATTGACACATAATAGTTCGGATGGCTTACCACTTGTATCTACCTCGCTGTACTCGTTGTCGAGTACCCCACCAATTGGATCCTGCAGAGAGTGCCAGTCGCCAAATACCTCGGTCTCAACATTCTTGCATGGAGCGTCGTGCTTGCATGTCATGCCCTCTGCTTTAGCTTTCCAGCGCTTATCTCTGTCCGAACCCTGCTTGGTATTTTTGAGGCAGTCTGCCAGCCTGCTTTTCTCATCATGACTTCACTTTGGTACAAGCGAGAGGAGCAAGCTTCAATTGTGACTTACTGGTACATGATGAGTAAGTTAACATGCATTGAAATCGTATTACTATGTGTTTGCTAATCTTGTGCATCAGACGGTATGCAACAAATTGTTGGTGGTCTTTTGGCCTACTGCTTTTCACAAATCAGACACCCAAGCTTCAAGAGCCACCCGGGAAATGCATCAATTCGGTCATGGCAGGCCATTTTCATCACCTACGGTTGCATCTCCTTTTTGTGGGGATTGTTCGTTATTTGGAGGCTTCCCGACAGCCCTATGCGCGCAAAGTGCTGGTCGGAAGAAGACAAGAAGCTGATGGTCGAGCGCGTACGCTCCAACCAGACTGGTCTTCAAAACAAGAAGTTTCGCGCGTACCAGTTCAAGGAAGCACTTCTCGACCCCCAGACCTACTGCTACATGGGTATCCAGATATTCACCACGCTTCCTACTTCTGGACTTGGTGCTTTTTACAACATCATCGTCCAAGGACTCGGATTCAGTATTCTTGAGACTCAGCTTCTGGCCATGGTTCTTGGCGCCATTATCATCTTCACGCTCATGAGCTCGGTCTATATCGTCAAGAAGACACAGCAGAACCTTCTGACTATGGCCATATATCTGATCCCAGCTTTCACAGGTACCATTGTCATCATGACTGTTAAGAATACAAACAGCGCAACCCGAGCCGGTCTGCTCATCAGCTACTGGATCGTCTTTACCTTTTGGGCAGCCCAAGGTCTCGGTATGTCCATGCTGACGCGTAATGTCGGAGGGCAAACCAAGAAGTCCGTCTGCATCACCATGAACTTTTTTGCCTGGTGCGCCGGCAACGCTATTGGCCCCAAGGTCTTCTTCGACAATGACCCTCGCTACCTCAAGACGTTGGCCATTCATCTTGGTTGCTACTCTGCTCTCGTCTGCGTCATTATCTTTTTACGGTTCAACCTCACGCTCCGTAACAAGAAGAAGGACCGTGAGTTTGGCACGGAAATCAACAATACCCATGGCTTCGAGGATTTGACGGATAGAGAGAATCCCAACTTCCGTTATGTGTACTAGACATTGCGAGAACTACAGGAAACTGTTATTTAATAAATAGAATGAATTATGCCAGCGCATCAATGGGAATAACTACACCAATATTATCACTTTCATAACTACTTGTATCACTCGCGCACAAAGACTATAATGGTAAACTCGAATTCGATACCTCATCTAAAATTCCCCCCATCGTTCTACTCCCCACCCCCATCATCCAACTTCCTATTCTCCCTCGCACTCCCCTCCAACCCCGCCATAATCGCCTTATCCTCCCCAGGAATCCTCATTTCAAACACCTCCCTCACAACCGCATACTCGTAATACCCACACCGCGCAATCGGCTGCGTCTTCCTGACATCAATCTTGCCATCCGTCAACACGCGTTCATCAATATGCACGCCAACCACCTTCCCGATAACCACATCTACAGACCCCATTGGCGGATTTCCTGGGAGACGCAACGTGCTGTGGTACTCGCACTCGAATTTGACGGGACTCTGCTTTACCATTGGGATAAACATCTGCTCGTGCTTCCCAGCCGCCTCCGCTCCATCTCGAGGGGCGATGCGCACAGAGCTAAGCTTACTGCCTTCCTTTTCCAGCCCCGCTTTCTCGAATTCGTCAACGCCATAGGCTTCTTGGACTGCGCTGATGTTAACTTGCTCGCGCAGCTCGTACGTAGCTAGGTTCCAGATGAATTTCCCGGTCGCTTCGACGTTGCGGACTGTGTCTTTTTGTGTGGAGCTGGGAGTTTGGTTTGCGCTGAACATTACGTAGGGGGGGTCGAAGGTGAGGTTGTTGAATTGGGAGTAAGGGGCGAGGTTTGCGGTGCCGGTGGGGGAGAGGGTCGAGATCCAGCCGATGGGTCGGGGCACGACGCAGGCCTGGGGTATGTGTGAATTGGTTGCATTTGCGATTTATAGTTTATAGGAAATAATTCAGGGTTGAGAATGGCTTGTATTGGGGGATTGGTTTTTAAGAGATGTCGGGTTGGAAGGGCATGATAGTTTCTCACCGTGCTGGGAATGGCGAAGTGGATATTTGCCAAACACCGTGCATCCACCGAATCTAGCATTGTATACAATTTAAAAATATAAATGTCACTTACCTTGAATGGATCGTATGGTAGCCCATGATCTTCCTTGCTCGGTCGGTAAAACATGTTTATCTCCTAGTGCTACCTTCTCCTAAAACAAGTATATTTTCCTTTTTACACAAGATCTTATCAACAAATATATCTCAAAAAGGTACAAGGTATGTACCATTGCACCCCCCCTTGCCAGGGCACATGGCCAGTATATAAACCCCGTACCACTCTGTCAGAAGCTTGTTGTTTTGGTGGGGCAGTATCTTCAGCTACGGATGCTACTGCGGGGTTCCCTACGTACATATCGGGATCCCGCAATCGGCACATCTAGGCGGGAAAGACTTGTGTGCTGAATGCGTAATTGCATCATTACATCACAATTCCAACAGATACACACCATGGCTTCTTACAGTATAGTTTCCCTAGTCGTAGTTTCCACAATGAGATTGTAATACACTAGATATAGAGCAAAGAGAGATTAATTTCCCCTCCACCACCCAAATAAAAAAAATCCCCCAATATCCGTACCACCATGTCCCCCATAGAAACAATCCTAATAACAGGCGCCTCCTCCGGCCTCGGCCTCGCCTTCCTAACGCACTACCTCTCCCTTTCCACCCCAACACCCAAAATCGTAGCCCTAGACACCCACCCTTTACCCGAAAGAATCACTACACCACACCCACCAACCCTTTCCTTCCACCGCCTCGACATCACCAGCGCCTCCGCAGTTCAAACCCTCGCATCAACCTACGCCCACACACCTATCACTCTAATCCTTCACTGCGCCGGCATCCGCGGCCTAGTCCCATCAATAGTATCCCGCGAGAAAGATGGAACCCGCAACGTCGCAAGCACCGAGACACTGGAAGTCATGGATAAAGAAACAATGATGCGAACGTTCGAAGTAAACACTTGGGGAACATTTAATCTTATCAAATCTTTTTTGCCATCTCTCCTCTCCTCTTCGGCATCGTCACTGGAAAATACCAGTATCACACGCCCCAAAGTTGTCATTCTCTCCTCACGCATGTCATCTATCTCGGCGAATTCTGCGGGGGGAGCCTACGCGTATCGAGCTAGTAAAGCAGCGCTGAATGCGGTGATGAGGAGTTTTGTGATTGATGTGCCGCAGGTGCAGTTTTTGCTGTTGCATCCGGGGAGGGTGGAGACGGGGCTGGTGGCGTGGAAGGAGGAAGGGGCGGTGAGTGTGGAGGAGAGTGTGAGGGATTGCTTGAGGGTTTTGGAGAGGATGAGGGAAGAGGAGTGGGCGAGCGGGAGGTTAGTAGATCGGTTTGGGGAGGAAATTGGGTGGTGAGGAAGAGGGGAAATGGTGGACTTGGTCAAGAGGGTGGGGATGATCGGTTCTTGTGGATATCGTTAACTGGCTGTGGCATTCACAGTAGCAAGATGCAGCTGTAAAGTTGCATCATGTTCTTTGACTCTTGCAGTGTGCATCTAGAGTCCGTTGGTTTTCATTGCTGTCATTATGTAATATGTAGCAGCAAATGTCATGTACGGCGCTTGTGATGCATTTAGGCATCACTTTCCCTCTGTTCAGCCTTGGGGTCATGAATGCGCACTCTTGATCGGCGCTCTGACATAAAAACGATGCATGTAACTCCAGTGCAAGAGCATCATTGATCATCGCCCAACGTCTTTTCTGCGTCTTCCTCGCAAACGTCTGTTGGTATGCCCTCCTCGCCTTCTCTTCGCCCCGCACTGGATATCTTGTGCGCAATACCCAGACCTCTCTCAATACCTTGAACCAACCCTTCCAACGCCCCAAAAATGTCGCCTTGTTGTTCTCGTGCCTCAGTCAGCTTGTCTATTCCGGCCTCGGCCTTTCCTTTGTTCTTTCGCGGTATCTCAACACCTTCTATGCGTAGCATGTAGCCTGGATCTGGAGAGTCCTCGTCGAAAGAGGGAGCTGTCCGCACGCCCGTGTCTATTATCTGCCACTCTGGTGATAGCGACTGTGCATCCACGATTGTGCGTCCATCTTCGCCTACATCGACAATAAGGTAGTGTTCCTTAACACCTGGTATAGGTGGCGGAAACGGCGACTCGACTGGTGGGTCTTGTTCATATCCCTCTCCCTCAACCTCTTCTTCATCACCTTCCTGACCCCGACGTCGATCCCCGGCAGCCGGTGCATCGTGTGGAAGGTATCGTGTATCGTCTAGCCCTAAGCCTCGCATCGAGGCTGCAGTGACAATGGTAGGATCGTCGTCTGCGAAGACATAGTGGACATAAGGGTGGTAGTGCTCTCCCGATGTCGTATCTTCAATCAAGGCGAAGAAGGGTCGGAAGTTTGGTGGTGGTAGCAGGGGTTGCTCAGCATTAGGCTCGGGGTATGGTATGTCGTCGTCCTCCGGCGCGTCGCCAAACTCTTGTTGCTCGTTGGGATCATCACCAGGAGGATAGTCTGGGTGATCTAGGGGCTTCGTACGTGGCGAGGGGGTTGCGCGAGGTATTGGCGGTGGTTCTGGAGTGTCGAGGTTGGCAGACATGTTTGGGAGATTGATGGCGGAGTGGAGTTAGTGGAGCTCGGGAGAGCGAGCTCTAGCTCAGATGCATGATCGATAAGACAGGTGGTCCATGCACACTACCCTTCCGACAGCCGGGAAGTGGGACAAAACGCAGGTACCGGAGACACCATGACTTGATCAGATGGCGTGTTTGAAGCAATACTTGGGGTACCAAACGTGCCAAAGACGATTATATCGATGGTCCAAACAATCCAAACTCCAATTTCGCCAGACCCTACGCGTCACTCAATGTTTCTACAAGAAGTCCCGTCGTATGTTCCCCAAGACATTAATGGAAGACTCGTCATTCGTACAGGATCCGTCGGTAACAAGCCAGTTCGAAGATTACAGGGGACTTGTATCCGGTTCCTGTATCTGTCTGGGCGTCTCGGTGGCGGTTGGCGCGTCTTGACTCTTTGACTTGAATGCTGTGTCGGGATATCAGTAAGGTCTTTGGACATCTTAGACAGTGGAGGATTGACTTACGCTGGCGACACATGGGACACTTTTCCAAAGAGCTCTCCTGCTTTAACCAGTCGAAAATACAGTGCTGGGTTGCTGTTAGTTGTGCGTGGGTCGTTTCGACGAGTGGTAGTTTACCATGTGAAAAGAGTGATTGCATTCTCCAAGTACTAGCTCTGATCAGCTGGCATGAGAAAAAAGTGGGTATTCCTGGACTTACGTAGCGGGCACTCATCGCCTGGGAACTTGCACTTGGAACAGGTGCTGTCGTATGGGTTGCGACAGATTCCACAGACATCGTCATCGGGCATGTCCCAGTGCCAAGCTGCGACAGCGTTCCATTCGCGGATAGTTACTTTCATGGTTTTGGTCTTTGTCCAATTTATGGTGTTCAAGAACGTTGTGTATGTGAGTATGAAGCAAAGACTATCAGCAGCATCAAAACGCGCCCAGGCGGCAGATTCTCGGGCGGTGAGAAGCGGAGATTGGGCGTTAATTCCGGCAGGGGGTCTGAGCTCAAGCTTTGCTGCAGCCACAGCAAAGCTACGAGATGTACACAATTGCAACACCAGAATCTGACCTGCACAGTGCTATCAGTGCTTGAGTAAGTCGTCAGAACCAGATTTGTTCGAGGTCGCCTCTCAAAATGCATTAACAATCACGCCATAGTCTTGCCCTGATCCGCTGCGGTTCAGTTCCCCGCACTTATCAGTATTAGTAGCTTCCACCTGCCCCTCCGGCTTGGTCACGAAATATTGAGCGACGAAGGCATCACCTCGCCGTCTTCTCCACTTATCCCACCAGTGCTATCTCCATCCTCGCCGACTCCAACAACTAACCACTGCAGCTTGCAAAATGTTTGTCTCACGTTTCCACTGTTCTTTGCGCTCCCCATCTTCCTTTGTCTCGTCTCTCCGGTATCCAGTCTCTGTAGCCAACAGGCGCGCAATGTCATCGCACGAGAAACTCCGTTCTTACCTTGTTACCCCAGCAGAGCTCAATTCGGCCCTAAAACTCAATGCCAGCAAGCTCTCGCACGAACCTCGCATCATTCCCCTCTGTGCATCCTGGTTCCTTCCCAATGACGACCGCAATGGCTACGAAACTTTTCTTGCGCAGCACATTCCCCATTCTCAATTCTTCGATCTAGACGCTGTCAAGGATGTGCATTCGCCGTACCCCCACATGCTCCCTTCCCCTTCCGAGTTCGCTGACGCAGTGAGACATCTGGGTATCCGTCGCGAAGACAGTGTAGTCGTGTACGATAGCAAAGAGCTAGGCATCTTTTCTGCGCCCCGCGTTGGCTGGACATTCCAAGTTTTTGGTCATCCAAGAGTCCATGTACTCAACAACTTCCGCAAGTGGGTCGATGAGGGATACCCCACGGAAAGCGGCGAACCCAAGGCGCCCAAGATAACCGATTACGAGGTACCGCAGCTGGACGAGAAGAAAGTCATTGCTTTCGAAGAAGTCAAAGAAATTGCAAAAGAGTTGGGCAAAGAGGGAGCCGATGAGGTGCAGATCTTGGATGCGAGGAGTCTAGGAAGATGGAAGGGCGTCGACCCAGAGCCCAGAGAAGGTACACAGAAAACCGCCAGTACAAACAAGTAGTAGCATACTGACAACCACAGGTCTATCCTCTGGCCACATTCCTTTCTCCATCTCTGTACCAGTCGCCGACCTCCTCGACCCCAATGACAAGACCCTCCTCCCCGCTTCCAAGCTCAAGGCCGTCTTCGAATCAAAGGGCATAAAGCCTGACGTACCTATCATCAGTAGCTGCGGCACTGGCGTTACCGCAGCCATTATCGATGCTGCCCTGACCGAAGCTGGATACCCGACACAACAAAGGCGTCTATACGATGGCAGCTGGACGGAATGGGCTCAGCGCGTCAAGCCTACTGAGGGTCTCATCCACAAGACATTGTAGATAAGCAGAAGTCACACGAGAGATTGATATGAGATGCAACCCATTCCCTTGAAGGAAGTTGATACCCTTTCTCGAATTTTATGTACAAATAGTTTAGTTAGGAAATATATATGTGCCAAGAGTCCAAAAGTACTCATGAACATGCTCTTCTAAACAGAAAATCGGTACATATTTCCTTGCATGACTCAAATCATACATCTGTACATTCCGAGATAAAAAAAAAGAATCTATATGAAACCCTAAACGAGTTCCACCAGTTGACGTTGCCGTGACCACATCTTTTATACGCCGGTATACAAACGAAACTAAAGCAAAGACAGTGGTTAGTGGTAGTGCCAACACAGCCAAAAATCGATACGTCGAAAACAACAAGGGAGAATAAACGAGAATATCTAACTTTTCAAGTCTGCTCCAGCAAAACTCCCTATCCCAACGACTGATCCGAACACTATGCCTGCGAAGACGTGACCGGAGACGACGGTAAACCCAGCTTCGCACCAGAACGACAATCGAGATACGTCTCAAGAAATTCTTTGACTTGCTTGTTCGTGCCACCCAGGTTTCTCAGTGGAAGTGCTACGACCGACAAACCCTTGAGTGAGCGGGCTCGACTCACTGTTTTTATCATGTCAGCCATTGTCTTTTACTGCCCATATTTGCTCATTTGATGGCGTATGTGTGTTTTAGGAAGGGGAAAGAAAAGTGAAGAAAGCACAAGTGCCGACTTACGAGCAACATAAATCTGACTCGGCTCAAACGCATCGCGCAGATTGACTATAACACGGTCAAGTGTCATGCCCTATTTCCAAGCACATATCAGTACAAATGACACAATTGAATTGGATTGGACACGAGAGAAAAGGACGAACCTGCGACTTATGCACTGTAATTGCGTAACCCGCTATGAGCGGTATTTGCGTTCGGGAAAGCAAGCTCGGATCCGGCTCCTGCTGCTTATTCTCGCCCGCCACCTCTTCATTCCCCAACTCGCTGTACGCGCAGTCTGCGTAAATCGATTCTTTAAGACCGTTGTCGAATAGCACAATGGGCCAAGGCTGGTGCCCATTGTCTTTGGCGAAGGCTTTAATTTGGTGTTGAGCGTAGCCGGCATGGGGGCCTCGCAGAGTACCTTCCATGTCATCTGGATCCTTTGCTTTGCGGGGAAGTCGGTCAGGGTTGAAAGGTTCGAAGGCGATGATTGTGCCTTGGGCACCGTTTACGAGACCGCTTTGGGGTCTGAGGTTGGATTGGAGGACTACGCGCATGCCTTCTTTTAGTTCAGTATAGGCGTCGTAGCGGTGGTCTTTCTGTGAAATGGTTAGTTGTGTTCTGGACGGGAAGAAGAGTGTCATACTAATTGATATAGGGTTCTAGGATCACCGAGTCCTGGTTTAGTGTATTTTTCTAGTGATTGATCGTCTCGGTGATGTTGCTTCCAGTTGAAATGATCCAAGCAGTGATACTTGCGGGGTGCGGATGGAAGTCGAGCAACGTTCTCGCTATTGATACGATCCACGTCTCGGCGCAATGAGAAAATCTTGATTGCGTTTTCCGTCTCCGACGTGTGATTTAGGAGTATCTTGGCGTGGTTGGGGACAATGATGCCATCTGTCACACGTCAGTATCTATACGAGAATGCAGGACCATATGCAGAGAAAAAGAGCTATAAAACACAAAACGTGGTGGAAAAACGTTACAATCTTACCTCTGCGAATCTTCTGGAGAATAGAAATAAACTTTCTATCGTTTTGTCTATGAATCTCGGTCAAGTTTACATGCTCAAAATTGCAATCCTAATATTGTTAAAGCAGTTCAACAAAGCTTACAGTAGGAGACACCATCATACCTGCCATGCTTGACTTCGAAAAGCCCACTTATCCGTATCTGGCCACATATCGTAACGGCAATTCTTGTTCTCGCAATGGTGTATTAGTTCGCCCCGGGTTTCTTTATGTATAAGATTCCAGCCACATCCCATACAATGAATGAACGGTTTCACTGGGGCAAGCTGGCAAAACTACACACTGTATTAGTAGTTTTTCAACAGATAATAGCAAGAAACCTACGTCTCCAGTAACAACCACCTGCTTACCGCCAAACGGATGGCCGCCCCCCATCGCACCCATAGCTGCCTTCATAATTTCGTTCAATCGCTCGAATAGCAGATTCTCAACCATGCTGATTTCATCAATAACAAGAACGTCAGTCGAGTCGAATCGTTTCCAGACATCTTTTCCATGAGCAGCTTCCTTCAACTTGTCCAGAGGCTTTTTCATACTGTCAGGTGTCCACCCAGCAAAGGCCCATGTAGTCTGTCCGCCAACATTCAAGGCTGCGAGATTCGTTGGTGCTACAATCTGAACCCTCAGTCCCTTTGCCTTGAGCTCTCTGACAAAGGCCTTGAGGATAGTAGACTTGCCGCACCCTGCGGACCCGGTGTAAAATACATTTTTCCTATCTTGAACAATAAGATCGACCACTCGTCTCTGTTCAGCGCTTAATTGGGGTTCGGGTTCCGGTACATAAGTATCTACTGGAGCGAATTGTGCCTGCGAACTTTGCACGAGTTGTTGTTCTGAAACACTTGGCTGGAAGAACACCGGTACGCCATCCTTCCCAGGTCGAAGATCGGCTACGAAGGTTTCTGTGGGCATCGCATAGCTGTACCTGAGTGTATCAACGCCGGGAGGCGATGACGACAGTGTTTGCTGCGCCATACACCTATTCTGTGCTGATACAGGTCTACATGACGTGTTAGACACTTCCCTCAGGTGCTGCATCGCGCTTCCGATGTAGCCATGGTTCGCTAGACTACTATTGTTCGCCAGTATGAACTCCCATGCGTCTAATTGCGTGGTAAACTTCTTTTGGCGTCCACCAGAATATCCCGAAACTTGCTCATTAGCTGAAAATGAAGACGCATAAACGCCGGGAACTCTCCCTTGAGCTACTGCATAATAGAAGGGCCAATTAAGAGTAGGATCTGGTTTACAGGTGCGATACCAAGTGGTTCCACAATCCTTGCGGGGTCCAGATGGAGGCAAACGAGGCTCTTTCGTTTTTGGCAAGGTCTTTGCTCCTGGTTCTGGGCTGGATTCAATCTCAAATGGGTTGTTTTGAGTTCCGTGTTGCTTTGCTTTGTGCGACGAGGCATTACCCGGTTTTTGCTTTAGTTGCGTGAAGTCATCTGATGCTTTCTTTTGTTTGGATCGCTTCCCATATTCAGGTTGGTTTTTCTCTTCGAACTTCCTCTTTCTCGAACCTTGCTGTAATGCAATTTCTGGGGGTCTACTTTTAGTATCTGCTTTCGCTGGGGGCAGCCAGTGATTGTCATGTGCGATGTGTTCATCCCCAGAAATATTGAACTGCAAAGGGGTGTTCTGCGTGTTGGATGAAGATTGCGTGTACCCTGGGTACTGTGCATATCGCATATGCCATGAATCCCGCAAATACTGCTGATATTGCGGGTCCTGTGAGTACTGCTGATATTGTGGGTCCTGAGCATAATATAGCTGGTATCTTGGATCTTGCGAATACTGTAGCGACCTGTAGGCCGAGTCGCCATCAAGAGGAGCAATTGTATCTCCGCTTCCGACATTACCTTCCATCTCATCTGACTCTGGATGTAGCACAGTTGGAAAGAAGAACACAGAAAAGGTTACAAATATAAGAGCCGAATGGTTTTTTAAGTAACTGCAAGCGCTGTAACTGTTCGAACGGAGAAAATGACGGTGGTTAAAGTAGTGATACCAAGCCAAGTTGTGGGTTGATGCCCCTCTTAGCGACAAGCGAAGGATTGATTTAACCCAAGATAAGAAAGAATTGCTGCAGATGCCAAGAATATCTCTACTTGGATGTGGCTGCGTAGCAGCAGTGTGGTAGTGAAGAACGTGGTGGTTAAGGGGACGGGCGGATAGACCTATCGATTTGTTGCGCGTCCTCATCACGCTAGCAGATAAGTAAGACGGGCTAGCGCGAATCCCTGGCACAATGTGCACGATGTGCACATGAAACAAAAAACAAAAAACGGTACGGGAACTAGGTTTCGTTTTAATAGCTAATGCTCTTTGGTACGCAGATTCAGTCAAACCGTTCTTCTGCAATACGTCCGGGATCCATATGTAAATGCTTGCATTGGTTTCCCATGTCACAGTCTGATCACTCTTCAGTGCTGACCGCAGCTTCAAATGCAACCTGACTGCTGCCTTTTCCCTTACTTTGCTTTTTGCTTTTATTCCCGGTCGTTTCTCGGCCATGTCGTACCCATCCTGGCTTCTCTGTAATAGGTTGCAAAAAGCCATCGATATGCACACAGCTAGCCACCTTCTCCTCGTTTTCGACGTCATCAACATCGGGATCGTATCCATGGACGCGATAACAGTGTTCGGCAACGCGATTCGGTGACTCAAAGTCATGCTCGTGAGCATAGCAATCTGTGTGTGGACAGCGTAAAGTGTTAAACCGGAAGAGCGGACGCTCGGAAGATGGCGGCTTTGTGCTTGATAAGAGGCTTGTAGCTGCTGGGGTAGATGGGGTATACCATATCGGCTTAGGAGCAGACCGCGACGCCAGAGACTCATCGTATGGTATAAATGACATACTTTCGCCGAAAAGAGCAGCACAGCGTTGGGCTGTGCGTGCCAAAGCCGCTTTGTCCCATCCTCTGACGGCTGCGAGTCCAAGCACCTCACTCCAGTCCATTAAGCCTCTCCCCATCTCTTCATCTTCGATTATGGAACCAGCATCACTCACACTACCCGAGAGTCTGCGGCGTTTTCGTTCTCCAAGGGCTTGACTGGACGCCTCCCAGTCAGAAGCACCGCCGGAGGTGGCATCACTATCCATTGCATTCGTATCTTTGTCTTGTGTACTCTGCTCTACAACGTGATTGGCTCGTACCAAGCTAGCACGCGAAGACGATCGTGTTCTGGGTCTTCTGTGGCTCGAAGTCGTCCTTGACCGAGCTCTGGATAGCGGCCTCGACTCACGCCCACTTGACTCTGCTCCAGATGTGAATTCGCTCATTGAAGAGCCGGCTGAATCTTCATCGCGAATCTGGTTGAGCTGCATTCGACAGATAGTTAGTGCCAGGTCGTCTAGCTTGTTCATAATAGACTGGATCGACGGCTGCAAGAGCTGTTGTGCTTTCGCATCATCGGCCAAAACAACTGGCTTTGTGAATGTGCCGAGCTGTTTCTTCCTGCCACGCTTCTTCCCATATTGCTGCGTCTGTTCCGTATTGAACTCATGTCCTGCAGTCTCTCCATACGCACTACTATAAGCGCTCGTTTCAGCATCAGCGCAGGATGCTGAGGATGGTCGTGAGAATCGAGCAGATTCTGATGGAGACCGGCTTCGTGAAGTCTCGGGGCCATTGTCTGAATCAGATCCGGATGAGGACGCGTCCCGCATATTCCACTGGTCTTTCGCTATCCGGAGGAAAACGGCCAAGAGCTCTTCCCTGAGTTCTTCTCCCGCATCCTGTTTGCCGGTACTTTCGATAGCCCACTCATCTGCTTGCCCCCGTACTAACCCTCTGTCTAACTTCTCGCTGTAATCGGGAAGCTCTGTCGGAGGCACTGGCCATGCTGTCCAGTCTGGAGGTGGTACTATGGCCTCCTGTACGAGGCCCGCTGCGTCCGTATACTTCAAGTCTTTCTCAGGCATCAGCCATTCGTCCCTGCTCTGCCACATTTCGAGCCGTGCCAAGTCTTGCGCAGGTCGTTGCAACCGCCGCTTGAGCATATGTGCGTTGTACAGATGCGCAGAGAGGTCGGAGTTTTGCATTTGTTCGAGCGACTCTGCAATTCGACGGTCAGCCTCTGTATGCTCCTCCCATGTTTGCGGCGTTCCATGGAACCGGTTTGGCCGCGTGGGTTCCTCATCCTCCTCATCCTCGTCAGACTGGTCAAAATCATCTTCGCTTGAATCTGCATCGGCGACTGTATCATATTCTATGTTTATTTGTACTGGAGTATTGACCGGTTGTGCTTCTTGCGCAACGTGCACATCTGCAATCCCAACAACCGGCGGTGATGAGGGAGCGAACGAGGATTCTGACGTGTCAGACTCATAGGAAGAGAGCCGTGGCTTGGCACTATCACCACCGAACAAGGACATGTCAGTGTCAACAAATATCAAAGCCAGGTGCTGGCTATGTTAGTGTCAATATCTGTGTTCGGCGGTTCATTGCTTGTGGGGTGTCTAAGTCGCAGTCAGTCTTTTTTGGCAGGGTTCTCGAAATTCACACGAAGTCACGTGGGCGCCCCGCATGACCCCGACAACTTATACACGAACACATTATCCTGAGATGATCGCATCATATTTCTTTGCTCTCTTACAATCATGACTCAAATTGTACCACTTCTCACTGTTAGTACTATGTGACTTTACTAATCGAATCATAGACCTGCAAACTTTCTCTACTCATGCATCTTTATGTAGAAGGCCACAAATGGCCTCCACAACGTAAATGTTGCACTAGACACTCATTCAAGCCACCCAAACTGCAGAACGCGCATTTGATATTCTGTTGTGCTGAATGGCTCGACCATGCCCAGTGAACCATGGTTTATTTGTGCATAACAGCCGAGGGCCATACATACTTATAGGCATGCTGATCTGCACATATCTTGTAACTTCAACACTACACAAAATGCCGAAGCGTTCCATCTTCCACATCTCAGGCTATTCCTCAGGGCCAAAAGACTCCGAGAAGCGTGTTCGGATGGACTGTGACCGCCCTCTTTCAACACCCGTCCGCTTCCTTATACTTTCCGACACACATGGCGCCGACTTACCGTCGAATCTTCCTCCATGCGACGTGCTCCTCCATTGTGGTGATTTGACCGAAGACGGAACTCCAGAAAGCATCTTCGCCGCTCTTCGAAAGCTGAGCAAGGTGAAAGCCAAATTAAGACTCGTCATCGCTGGCAACCATGATATATCCCTAGACAGAAGGTACTGGGTATCACAAGGTGGAGAAGAATCTGATTCAGAAAGAGCACAGGCGCTATTTAACCCGGATTGCGGAGCTAGCCAACACAGTATCACCTTTCTCTCTGAGGGTACTCATACTTTCAATCTACCCTGCGGCGCCGTCTTCAAAATCTATGCCTCACCATACACCCCTGGATGGGGTACATCGGCATTTCAATACCCGACTGGCAGTGACTGTTTCAACCCCCCAAATATTACTCCGCTGTGGGCGAAAAACGTTGGCACTGAGACCTCGATTATCCCAGAGAATGTCGACATCGTCATGACTCATGGGCCACCAAAGTATATTCTAGACGAGGCAGCCGGAGACAGTGCAGGATGTGAGCATCTAAGAAACGCCATAGTACGAGTGAAACCCAAATTACATTGTTTCGGGCACATCCATCTTCCGCTGGAAGGCTGGATCTATCAAGCGTACAGGTTGGCATACAAAGACCCGGCGGAACTGAACAGCGGCGACCCCGAGCCAATAGCCAACATCGTTAAAGATTGGGTGGGGTCAAATAAAGCTCGTAAGAAAGGATTCAAATGCTTATCTCCAGGCGCTGCAGAAGATTTCCGTGCGAGCAAGCAGCAGACGTTGTGCGTCAATGCTGCAATGGAGGGTGAGAAGGGAGAGCTCGAACACCCACCGTGGCTCGTTACCTTAGATTTGCCGGTAACAGGGTAGACAGAAAGTCTATACGAAAAACCCTATCAACGAGAAATTCATAACACATCAGTTTGGCTTGGAACAGATGCTTACGATGCTACGACGTACGCACGATGTTCTTACAGCCCGTGGAAGCCGGCCCACAAGGAATGCCACATGGTAACTTACGTTTTGCGGAAGAACGGCGAGGACGACAGCTGGGAGTCTCTTGTGCCGTACGTTAAGAAGTGTAAGTCTTTTGCGAACAACACAAGAACGAGGAATGAGGAAACAAATGCTCCGCTAGAGCTCATCTCAAACCGACACCTCAATCGCCACCTCACTTCTCTACCGCATCCTCTCTACCTCCCACACAATAACTTCACTCTCAGTCGCATTACCGCTAGCAAGGCGATCACACCGCTCCAGTAATTTCTACTGCATCCAGCTCAACACGTCAGACATGCTGCGGGCGCCTAAATTTTGAAATGAGGACATAAGGCAGTTTAGGAGGGCCGATGGGGCCGCCCTGGTGGGTGAAGGGTGTGTTGAAGGGGATTAATAAGGGGAGGATATCTGAGCAACCGGTTCCAGCAACTAGCTGAAGGAAGATTACCAACACCAAGGTTTTACTTCTCTTGCGTTGCGAGGATGCTTGTAGAATTGGACTAGAAGTTTGGATAGCAGTAATAATCAGTAACTACCGTAGCATATCTGGGCAGGATGATAAGAGAAGCGAAGAAGTGAATAAGACAGCGTCAATATAGACGAAGATTCAGATATCGAGATTGCAATAGACAGATTCATCTCAAATAGCATTAAACCTCTTTCTCTCTAAATACCCATTATTACCATTACCCAGCACCCTCTCTCATTCCACCCAATCACTCTAAACATGCCTCCTCCTCGCCCACTCACTCAAATACTCCCTACCCTCCACTCTCCACGTATCGCTCTCCACATAACTCCCATTCTGCCCCCTCCCCCTCGCCTGAATGACCAAATCAAGCCCATCCTCACTGTCACCATAGTGCGGCCAATTCGGCAACCCCTCGCCATTCGGATCGCCATTTGCAACAAACCTGATCCACTGCGCGCTCACCTCGTCGCTAAGCGCCTTGTACTCTGGCCAAGGACCATAGAAGCGTGGGTTGTTAAAAACGAACGCAACTTCAGTAAAGTGCGCAACGCCCATGAATGCTTCTGCGTTGCCACCCTCGTCGGAGGTGGGGCTGTTCTGCCACGGGAGAGTGTTGAAGCGATAAATGTATGTTGGAGCGTACTTGGCGTATTCACGGGCGTCTGCTAGGCGAGGCGCATGATAAAAGACATCGCCTAGTATCGCGGCTATGCGCTTGTACTGGAGGCCTTTCTCTGCGAACGTCTCGACGCCAGTGTTGAGGGGAATGCCTTTTGTTGGATCGTTAGGGTAGAGTTCTAGGAGGCGCTTGACGACTTTGTCCGGGAAGTCGAAGCCGGTGCTGTTAAGGAGATAGGCGTAGATATCTTCGTCTGTGTTGATGACGCCATCGAAGGGTGCGTTGTCAGTTCCCTCGTCCGAGTTGGTACCGTACAAGTGAGGGATATGGGCAAAGCGGCCTGAGGCGAGTAGCTCAGTTGGGTAGGCAGGCATAACGTCGCCATCTACAACTGGGTACCAGCTTGGGCTATAATTTGGAGCTGCAAGCACAGGAAAGATTGCATCGTATGACAGTGTGCGTAGACAAGCCAGTGTGTCGGCTTCTTCCGAGCAGTTTGCCTTTTTGACAATGTCATTGTAAATGGGCTGATACCATTCTGTACCGTTGTACCAGGCTGTTGCTGCAGAGCCGGATTCCTGGATACTGCGGTGGAAGAGACCATCCGTTTGACCACCATATGACATAACCAACTGTCCAACTGCAAAGCTTCCAGCCGACTCGCCCCAGATAGTAACGGCATCTTTGTTGCCTCCAAAAGCCCCAATGTTCTCCGATATCCATGCAAGAGCTTTGCGCATGTCTCGCAATGCAAGGTTTGTTTGACCAGCGCCCTGGACCTCTTGTGAGTAAAGCAGGCCCCACGCACCCTTGCGGTAGTTGATGCTAGCTCCAATAATTGGCTGTCCGATCTCTACACTCCTTTGAACAATATACGACAGATTGTAGTTTGGCAAATCCGTGGAGCCGATTTGATAACTTCCACCGTGGATCCACACCGCAATTGGCAGCTTAGACTGCTCCTGTAGGGAGAGACCTGCTGGGCGTACAATGTTGATGCTCAGGCAATTTTCGCTCATGATAAGGCTACTGTTCATCGAATCCGGGCATGTATCGCCATAGGCCGTAGCGGGGTGTGTACCGTTCCATGTAGCGTTCAAAGACTGTGGCACGCGGAAACGATTCTGACCTCCAGTATCCTGCGCGTACGGAATGCCTAGAAAGGCATCTTGGTTGAAGGAGGGAAGGTGTAAGCCTTCATATGTACCGTTCAGTACTGTGACAGTAGGACCAATGGCCCATGCTGTCGTTGCCAAAAGAAAAGTTGCAAGCGCCCGCATTGTCCCAGCTCTTGTAATGAACACCACGACGTTGACTCACAAACACCAGTGATGTTTGTTGGAAACAGTACGGTGCGAAGTGGGTGCAAAGAGGAACCGTTCTCCAGCTTCTCCATAGCAGCAAGCCGAACGCTAGCGGGGATAAGGCGCCCTAAGTCGTGAGTAAGGACCCTTGTATTGTGGTATGACGTTTGTCCCATTTTGTGATAAGAGTCCATTTCGAGAGCGATCAGCGGAGCTGTACCTCGGTAGTCAGGGATGATACGGAAGGTGAACATTGACCTTGCAGGGCGGCACTCCATCCAAAAGTCCGCTCGACGGTGTCGGGTACGTGCGACAGTGACTTGATTGGTGCCAACATTCCAAGCGACAGACCCCACCCAATATGTGATGCTTCCTACAAATAAGTACTCCGGTTATTACACGGCCCTACCATGGGACGCCTGAAAGACACGTGCATGCCAACCTGAAAACTTCTCCGGTCTTGCTTTAGAAAATCTTCGATAGAAGGCTATGTCTCTTCTTTGCTGGTTGATCTACCAGTTGTGCTGTCGCGAGTTGTGGTAGAGGATGTAACATATCTCCTGGTAACTCAACCGGCATTGCCGAGACGCCATAATGCGGTTCCTTACTTGGGAGTGAGATGTTCTGAACTGTGCTTTGCTGGATATGCTGATTGTGCTGGTACAACGAAGCATTGTGGACTGAAGGGGATTGGTGAGTAGCCATCGGCGATGAAGGAGTGCTAAAGGTGCCATTCAACTGTGATTGAAGATGAGTCTGCGGCTGAGGTCTTTGCATATGTCCATATGCATATTGCGGTATCTGTGGTTGAGGTAAAGGTGCAGTGTTGGCATGGTGCTGGTGCACGCGCTGAGCCCTCCAGAGGCTGAAAACCTCGTTCATGAGAATCGACCATTCCGGAGGTCCTCCCAGGAAGTTGTACTTGACAGATCCGTCCTGGAATGCGACGAAATAGTGGTCTTGGTGATACGGTGAGATGGCGACGTACTAGTTTATGTTAGGGCTACCTCCATACAATCAGTAGAGCATGAATAAGTACTTACGACGATAGCTCCCGGTGCAGCATCTATTATGATCTTATTCAGTGTGCTGTAATGGCCATGGAAATCCCATGCTATGCGCCGATCAGGATACATGACGAACCATGCATTCTTCACTCCGAGACTGACACAGATGGGTATATCATGTGATTTTCGGAGTTTGTCCTCGAGATCTGAAGGTATGCCAGCCCATATTGACCCTCTTCCCTGGGCGCAAGCAAAGTAGCTGAAGTTCTGGCCAAAGGTGATGAAGCACGAGCGGGCGGCATTCGGGAACGATTTCGACCATCGCGCAAGGTCAGGATAGTTGACGTCAAAGTAGGTTTGAGAAAAAACTATGTTTGATTAGCGCAATATCAAAGAGGTGTGTATTGTCTAAAGTAATACAGGCCGCTACTGCGGGGCTGGGGCCTAATCACTCACATTGCTTGTCTTCTCCGTCCAATGTCTTGCACCCTACATACCACACTGGCTCTTGGGTGTTGAAGTGAGGTGCGAGGGCAAGGCAATAAGGGCTAGCAATCCTCCAAGCAGGGCTCATGGAGCTGTTGAATAACTGACGAAGAGTGGGCGGTATTTCATGACTGTGCGCTGTCAATCACCTAGCCTCATCCAGTTGCACTGCAAGAAGCTCACAATTTCCATGTTTGAGGACAGTCAAAAAAGATGCTATTTCGCGGACCAAAGACGAAGGAAATGTTTGACATTTTTTTCAGGCTGTGTACAATATTGGATATGGTGGAAGAGAGCGAGTACAAAAGTTGCGGTTGCCAGCGCGTCGCGAGGCGCCCAAGAAAGTGGCGCCTTGGGGCCTTGCGGACGTGGAGAGTCGGTCACCAACGGTACGGCTGAGAGCTGTCACCGGTCACAAGGGCTATACGAGAGATCCGCTTGAATCGTTTTCTCCGATGAATTATTGAAAAGACTTGAGGATCGGGAGATTTCCAAGCAATAGCAGAGATTTTGAGAGAAACACGACTAGGGAATTGAGAAGGAGCAATTTCAAGTTGTGAGCGTTTTTGGTCACCAGAGAACATAGGAGTAACGGTCCAAAACGTCATTACTGACTCACGAGGTTTTGTACCGCTGGCTCCTTTTCTTTCGCAATTGGTATCTCCTCTTCATATATCTCCCTCACGCATGCACCTGGAAAGGCCCTACGCAGCGTTTCGCCTATGTAGCGAATGCCCCAGTCTTCAGCTTGCCTATGCCCGACACAAGCTACCGACATGCCCAGTGCTTTCGCAGCTTCCAACCCACTAACCCGGGGTTGCCCAGTCAGATACAGCAGATGCCTGCCGTCTTCATCCGGTGCTATCCATCCATGCTCTTGTGCCATCTGAAACACACGATGCACTTCACCCTCGTTGAAGGCATTCATGATGGCGACGAAGCGTATTTCGTCCGATAAGCCTACATGCGCCAGTTCGGAAACGCCAAACTGTTCTTGAATCTGAGTCAGGAGCTCCTGCAGAGGCACGGTGATCTGACCAATGACTCCGATCCTCCTCTCTGGATCTCCTTTATAGCCTTGGACGCAGAGGCAGTTCGCTGTGTCTATGCCCAACCTTTGTGCTAGCGCGGTGTTCCATCCTACCGTCAGTACCTCATCGAAGGAAGTGTGACTTGAGAGAACAAGAGTGCCTTTGCGCACGCTGCGTCGATCGAGGTTGAAGGGCCGGTGTAGAAAGCAGAGGGTGCGCGGTGGTCGTGGATAGATCTGCGCCGTAGAGCCCGTAGTGTTGTTGTCCGATGGGTAGCCGATCAAAGAGTAGACCCCTGGAGTTGGTGTGACGCTCAGTACAATCTGCTCAACTATCGCAGTCTCTGCATCGTAGCGAGGGTTTCGGGGGACATGGTAGAGTCGCTGGACGTCGTTCTCCTTGAGCGGCAGAAGCGTTTCGACGAAGCGCGTCACAGCCGCATGCGTAATCTTCTTCGGCCTTGACATTAAAGAATGAGAGTTCAGTCTATTCGTCAGTGGGGATCAAACAAGTTCTTTCGCAAGCTTCGTGACTTTTGGCTTCAAGTACGTCATGATCGCATCTGAACCGTGAAGCATTGAAAGCCTAGGCTTGCAATTCAGCCGCTGCTTTGCAAATCGCTAAGCATGCGCCTGATCATCAAGCGCGTACGCCTTCATTACATAGTGAGTTGTGTGTGGAATTGAGAAGCAGCCCAAAAGGTTCTGGTGTCTGTCGAGAGGATTGATTGGCATCGCCACGCCCAGCATCGTGCCGTGCCCAGACAGAACGGGCTTAGTGTGAGGGTTGCTTTCTCCTCCAAATCATTGTCGCTTCGTAGTACATACGGTTTTGAGAATGTGGTATTCTTGGAAACTACATTTTGAAATAAATTTCCCTACGATTTAAGCCTGGGCATTCTGATCATCCATGAATGTAGTCATCACTTTGACTAAGTGCACTTGCATTGCTTCCCGCGGCTTCTCTATCTTTCGATCTAAACTCCGGCCATCATCCAGTCATACCTCATTCATATCGTCACGTCGCTTTTTGTACCTCGAATCGCACAGAATACCAAACATGGGTGCCACGATTGCTTCTGCTCCTGCCATTGTAGGTGCGCTGCAATGCCAGAAAAATTCTTATCTCCAAACACTCGAGACTCAAGTAGTGTCGTGTGAGGAGTTCGTGCGCACAAAAACGCCGCAGCAAAACGGCAAGTCCAAAACCAAAAAGTCGACGGATCCAACCAAAGCCCTCGAAAATGGAGATGCGACAACAAGCAAGACATGGCTGATTGAGCTCGCGGACTCGGTCCTTTTCCCTGAAGGTGGCGGCCAGCATACTGACCACGGCGTCCTTGTGCCTTTAGAAGGTGAAAGCAAAGAGGAAATACCAATACGAAGTATTCAGCGCCATGGCCTCCGCTGCATACACTTTTCTCCTACCCCTCTCACACCTGGTACATCTGTACGCCAGACCGTCGACTTTAACCGACGTTGGGACCTTATGCAACAGCACACTGGCCAGCACCTCCTCTCCGCTATCATGGATGGCATGGATTTGCCCACCCTAGGATGGAGCATGGGTCAGCCCGGGGAGATGAACTATGTCGAGTTGCCACGCAAACCAACCGATGAAGAAATGCAGACGATACAAAAGAACTGCAATGCAAGGATTAGAGAAAGTATGCCGATTACAGTAGAGACACCTGAGGGAAAAGGAAGTGACAGTCTCCCTGAAGACTACGATCGAGAAAAGGGCGTGGTGCGGTTCATTAAGATTGGAGATATGGACTACAACGCCTGCTGCGGAACCCATCTCCAAAACTCATCGCACATCAACCTGATACTTCTGCACCACACACAATCAGTGCGAGGTACAAATTGTCGGTTATTCTTCACAGCCGGCGACCGTGCGATCAAACTAGCCACAGAATCCATTATGGGCCTTCGCTCCATTGCCGTCTCGCTATCCTCAGGTTCGGCACCAGCCGATGTGGCAGCTGGTGTGCAAAGAATCGCCGACCAGGTCTCTGAAGCACGAAAAAAGGAGAAGAAACTACTTGCTGAGATCGCTTCATTTCAAGGCGAACGCATCAAGAATCATCTTCAGGACCATGAAGCCGCATTCGTGCACCGCGCAAGTGAAGGACTGGATTTCATCAACCTCGTCCTCTTCGAGATCAAAGATGCAGTCAAGGATCGGGATACCGTCGTAGTCTTGTCTACAGGCGAGGCCAAGAGCTCAGGGTCGCTCGTCATTTTCGGCAAGCCGGAGTTGGTGGAGAAAATGGCGGCAAAGGTCAAGAAGGTCGTGAGCACAGTCAAGGGCGGAGGCAAGGGCGAAAAGTGGCAGGGCAAGGTCACGGAGTGGCAAAAGAGTGAGGTTGAGGCGCTGGAAAAGATGGTGAATGAGCAATAGATTCTATAAAGGAGAATAGAGGGTATATGAAGCGGGTTGTACAAGGGAATAGAGTGTGGATAGGAAATACAAAGTAGATATCGGGCAACATATGTGATGTGACTCTCCTCTAGCACATCACACCCTGCATCCAAGAAGTAAATACATAGAAAAAAGAGAAGAAGAATATAGTCAGAGAAACGAAAAACAAAGAGCGACGCGTACGAGATATTATGTGTGCATAAACAGATGCACACGATATCTCGAAGCATCTAACAATAACTCTCAAGCCTAAACACTGTAGACCTTGACCGAGTTGATGAGCCAGTACGACTATGTAAAGTTAGCATAACAATTCCCTTTTCAAATACTTCACAACGCAACTCACCTCCGAAAAGTTCTGCGGCTGACTCGCAACATACGCCACACAACTTGGATTAACCTGCGCACAAGTCGTGGACCCCCAAACCCCTCCCGCCCAATCGCCACAAAACGTAACATCGAACACGATATTCAAGTCGCGAAACTTGGCATCGAAGTCGCATCCATTGTTTCCGAAATTCGCAATCGGGGTGCCCCAAGCCGAGGGGTCTGGGTTCCCGGACTTGATGTTGGCAGGGATGTTGCGAGTTGCAAAGTACCAGACTTTGACGCCGGAGCTGGTCCAGAGGGTGGCGTAGACGCCGCCGCCGTTGGCGTTGAAGGGCGTGCCGAACGAGACGGGGTTGTCGGCTTGGATGCCGCAGCCGTTGAAGCCACCGTCGGCGCCGCAGTCGCCTGCGAGACGACGTCCGGTTTCTCCGCCGGGGCCGATGGAGGGATTGCAACCGGGGGATGTATGCAGGGTTACTTGGTTGGAGCTCGAGAGGTGGACGCCTTCGTAGATATCGATTTCGCCTTGGTTAGGCCAGTTGGGACCGACCATCCAGCTGGACGGAAGGGAGTGTTAGCGAGGTGTGGGATGGGATGAGGGATGTGGAAAAGGAGACATACAAGGCGGGCCAAGAGCCACATGCACTACCAGGAACATGGGCAAAGTCTGCAATGACGAGAGCGCGGTTGTACGCTGTCTTGCTTTGTATTCTGACACTCCTTCTTCCCGGGCCGTTGGGGTTGAGAGTGGAGGTGGAGTCTACGCCCATGTATACCTGATTGTTCTGCGTCTTAAATAGTCCATATTGTTGCGCCTGTTGCAAAGTGACATAGTCGACGAAGCCGTCTGCATCATCAGGTCAGAAATCAAAACTCACAGACGCTAGAGTGAAGTGATACATACGCGTGGGATCAGCGATATCTTCAAAGTTGAACTTGCTCGCCCAGTTACTAGCGTCATACGTATCAATCAGGTTGTATGCCGCCGCAGCACTGAAGTCCGAAGAAGACACAATCGTCGAGTTTCCATGTGTCCAGGAACCAGGGCCAGCAGGGAGTGCGGTAACACCGCGCCAAAGCAACGGTGCCGAAACGAAGAGGGACTTGAGAGACATGAGTGGCAGATATTCGTATCCAAGTAACTAAAAGTGCAGGAAATGCAACCAAACAGATGATAGCAAGAAACCTCAATCCTGAAAAAACGGTCACATCTATCCAACTTATACATTTCACAACCCTCCTTATCACACACCCAAACCCTCCCTATGCGCGCCCCACTCCCACCACAACCTCCTCGCAGACCCATCCAGGTCTGCTGCACTGCTCCACCCGCCCATCCCCAATGGACATGTACGTTGAAAGCAGAAAAGACAAAAAGACCCATAGCGTGACCAGCGTGACCAGCACTCCTTCACCATCTCCCTCCGCCGATTGGCCGAAGGACCTCAAATTAGGAAATCAAAGCCTTGCACCGTTACAGCATCCTTCTACGTAAGGGAAGAAAAAACGGGGCTAAGAAGGTCAAAGACACAGAGACAGAGAGAAAAGCGCAGGGCCTGTAAACGGTCGCGCGGAAATAAGTCCTAGTTGGAGCAAGTCTCGCGGATTCAAAGGGCACGCAGGGTCGCTGGCCCCTTCAACGTGGGCATGCCGCATGATGAGAAATGAGCGATGAGCCAAGGGGGCGTGAGAGCCCTCGTGGTTTGATGTTAGTAGTAAAGTAAGTAAGTAGTCGGGGCGGTTAGTTTGGTTGGTTGGTTTTGGTTGGCCGGTTCAGTAGGGGGGTGACGTTAGCATGTGTGTTTTGGCGATTTTTTAGTAAGGGTAGGGTGAAAGAAAAAAAAGGCATTTTGGTCTTCTTTCGTTTGTGAGTGGTGGAGGCATGTCGCCTTGTTCATCTAAAAAGCCGAGTCTTGGGCTCCGCGGATCGTGGCGACATCCGGCGAACTGTGGGCTAGGGGAGATGAAACAGCGTATGTAGTCTATTAAGAACATGGGGGTGAGTGCGCTCGAGTCATGCGTAGGGCAGAATGGTTGATGGAGGGGGAAGGTTTAAAGGCGGCCTTCCGTTTTGGGACTGATGGTTTTGGTCGGTTTGGTATTCATCTCCGTGTTATCATGTTGACTTGTGACAATTCATATGTCTGCACCTTCCCTGTATAAAGGGCCTGTTCCTTGGGACCTTTTTATGCCCAAGGAACTAAATGGATTTTTTTTTTTCGCTATGCAAGAGTCGCAAGTCAAAGGAAGACAGCAGCCGACTGTTCACGCCCGTTGTATCGCGCTAACCCCGCAATTTTTCTATCCCCATGGTCTGCGCATCTGATGCTCGCTGGTCACACTACCACCGGTCTCTCGACGCCCCACAGAAGTACTGCAGCGAAAGCGTAATAACCCCAGATTTTCGCTGCATGCGCAGCTCTCGCGTGGTTTGGAGTTGCATTGCTCGGGCTGATGAGAATGCGACCAAGGGCGCCTGGACGACTTGGGCTCCTGTCACATAACGCTCACCGCTACAGAGAAGCTTGAGATGTGGCATCATCGGGATTATATTGTTAGTCAAGCGGAGACTAGTGATCAAGCCAGTGAGACTAGTTTTAAAGAAGATGGGGATGGCTGTGGTACTGATGCGGAGGAGGAAGGCAGTGGACTTCATCGCGCGCCAACAGCGGTACCATACTAGAGCGCTAAGGGGGGCAACTATACCGATATTCCGTCGTCTTGCCTGTATATAAAGTACGTGGATAGCCCATGTTGGTTTATTTAATCGTGGGTGCAGGTAAAGACTCCTTGGTTCAGAGTTTCGCCTCCTGGTGTATTGTACAACCTGAGGTGTCTAGCGTAAGATAGTGCGTCTTAATAGAACAGAGAAAGTCGAAATCTTACGGTGAGAAATACTAGACGTAATACGCTATCATTTCTGTGATCTCCTAAAGTGCTGTGAACCCAGGAATGACCTGACATCTGTGGTTTTCAGTTAGTCATTCGAAATGTACTTTTGTCCCGCGTACTTAGTAGTCTACTTGAAGCAAAAACAAGGATGCGGGATATCCAAAACCCTTTTCCGATTCAACTCTAACATCCTTGTCAATAAAAACTGCACGTAAGAAGCTATGTTTATGTAGTGACCACAAGTTCGTCAACCAACAAACATCGCATTCAAATGGCGAGACTGCAACGGCGAACAAACTTTATAACTCAAAACTACGTATAGTTATGGGGTTTCTTTTTCTATATTCTGAAATATGAATCATAGTTGCCAGGAAACGACATGACTGGATTTGCCATCGCATAGTCATCTATCAAACATTCAAGGTTGTGTTTTGTACTCGAACCTCTTTGTACCACGAATATGCAAACGTTTTTCTCGAGTCCGTTGTCGAGTACAGTCATCAGTAATATGTTACAAGCTACTCTCAAGGTTTCCGGAGTTTTCTTTCATAGTTCTTGGTCAACTTCTAGCAATTGAAATACCGTTTCCTTTCGAAAGCCAGTACATGCATGAATCCAAGTTCACCGCATAACAAAATAATCATCATAAAATGAACAACTGTATATCTCTAAGTCAGCTAAAAAAAATGTACTCAAGCTTAGCTACACATCGATCCAATACAAAACCCCCATCTGCATAGCCATGTCTATCTTCTCAACCAGTCTCCCCTTTCAATTCCCTTCTGCGCTATCAACACAACACAATGTCCAACTCTCACCAATCTACTCCACCAACCTCTCACTTCTTCACAACACCACGAGAATTTTCTGTCCCACCCCAACACCTGTACCACCACAGCGCCCCCAGAATCTTCACAACGTCCCTATTCACACTCACTCGCTCGACTCACACCATCTGTACCCGTTTGCACAATGCCTCTTTCCAAAAGGCATATCAAAGGTTCGCAGAAACAACGAAAAAAAGTCTCTCCATTACAACAACTCAAAGCAAGTCAACAAAGCAAGTTACCTCAATCAGCAAAAGTCAAGCAAAAAGAGTCACTAAGAAAAATCACCAACAAAGCTTTCCCCTTGAACAACTGAAGAAAAGAAAATGTCTCTTCAACCAGGTATGAAGCACTTCATCGCAACCTTCACCACCATCCCCGTCCTCTGGCTCTGGTGGCTCTCCACCCTACCCAACACGCCCTCCCTCACCGTGACCACACTCTGGAACTACAACCCGGCGGACCCCGGCACATTCCTCGCAACCTGCCTGGTCCTCACCATGGCACTCTGGACCCTGCACCTCATTCTCACAATGAAAGCCCGACTAGAGCCCGTCTCCCCCTCCATCATCTTCGGTCTCTCATTTCACACCGTCCCTGCTCTCTGCCTCCTCACCGCCGTCTTGAAAGCCAAGGTCGCACAGGATAAGCAGATGGTGTGGTTCAGTGCGTTGATGGCACTGCGGTACTGGCGTACGCTCGTTGCTATCGTCTTCTGGACCCAGTACAAACCCTGTGTGCACCGCGCTTCTCACGGCAAACCAAAGTACACGGCTGAGGACTGTACGGTTGTGGTAGCTACGGTGGGTCCCGGCCAGAATCTCGAGCTGTTCACGCGCATGGTTGAGGGAATCCTTGCTAACAAGCCGAAACGCATTGTGTTTTCTACGCCAGAAGCGGGTATTGCGGATATTGTGCGGCCGATTGTGTTGGGGATCCAGAAGGCGTTTGAAGAGCGTAGGGGAGTTGGCGAGATGAAAGAGATGGGTGGGTACTGTAGTGCTACTAGGATTGTTGTCACGGGTGAGGCTAACAAGAAGGATAAGCGGACGCAGACAGCAGAGGGGATCAAGATGGTTGGCACGAAGATTATGGTCATGGCGGATGATAGTGCAGTGTGGTCCCCAAAGTTCCTCGAGGCTGCGCTCCCGGCTTTTCAGGATGACAAGGTAGGGTTTGTGGGCACGCGCAAGTGGGTTGAGCGGTTGCCGCTGCTCGAGTATGATTGCGAGCTCAGCTGGTATCAGAATACGGTTGCGCGGTATCGTTCTGGCTTCTGGAATACCATTGGGGCGCTGTATCTTGTGCGTCACAACTTTGAGATTCGCGCTTCAAATGCTGCGGATGGAGGCGTCTTTTGCGTCTCTGGTCGTACCAGCTTGATCTTGTCTCGGATCGTCAAGGATGAAGAGTTTGTGGAGAAGTTCCTCAATGAGTATATCTGGTCGTTTCCTAGCCTTGGTGTTGAGGGCGTTGGTCCGCTCAAGGCTGACGACGACAACTTCATTACGCGCTGGGTCATCAATCACGGTATGGACGTCAAGATTCAGTATACCGAAGATGCGACCATGGCCACTCAGCTAGGACGTATGGACAAGTTCAAGTTTGTGGACCAGTGCATGCGCTGGAGCCGTACGACTATCCGACAGAATCCTATCGCCTTATTCGTCGATCTGACTGTATGGTGGAAGTGGCCCATTTCTGTCTGGATGGTGTACTTTCCGTGGATGTACAATGCCGCTCTCTTCTGGGATACTCTGGCAGTCTGGACTTTTACCACTACCACATTCTTTCGCGACTCTTCAGCCCAGTACTACTGGTTGGGTCTTCTGATCTCTTTCATCTGGATGTCGAAGCTAACCAAGACGATCCCATGGTTCATGCATACACAGAACCGTTCAGACTTTTTCTGGTACTTCTTCCCCATCCCAGCTTACCCTCTGTTTGCGTACGCTCACTCCCTTATCAAGATCTACACTGTCGCGACCTTCTGGATCAACGACTGGGCTGGCCGCACGCAAGATGAGAAGCAGCCAGAGTTGGATGGCATTAAGGCCAAGTAGGTTATCGGGCTAGACCAAGGTAAGATGACTGTGTTGTCTTTCGACCTGGATTACGCTCTGTAGGAATTGGTCCAGAACAGGCTTGCAAGTGGCTAGCCACCTCTTTCTACTTTGCTACTTTTCACGGCAGGTGACTGGAGGCGGATTTTGCGGCCGAGTCATGGGCGACTGATTTCACCGGGGCGACAGACATCTAGAACCTCGATTTGAACATGTTGTTTTCCCGGGCATGGGAGGGGGGACTGTATGATATTTCCTTTGGCGTTAGTTGTATTTTCGATACCCATGGGCAGTATCCGGAGAAAGGCTTGGCCAGAGTAGATCGGTCGGTCTAGATTTTCATAGATGGTGTTTGTTTCTTTTGAAATGCCGAAACAGAGTTTTTACTCACCATCCCCGTTTACTGCATGATGTGTTAATGCTGTAGCTATGTCTAGATGCGTGATAATTTTGCATAGTTAATTTTGGGATAGGTAATCAACGATAAGTCTGAAGTCAAGTGTTGAGCATTGTTAGGGATCGAAATGTAAACTAGTGATGTCAACTTATTTGAGAAATGGCGATGAATTGACAAAAGTGGCAAAATGACTTTTGATACATACATCCTGAGACAGCCCAGAAAAAGGCCGTGGTCAGTACATGAGTGAGCATATTGGTGTAGATTGAGCCTACAGCGGGGTGTGTTCCATGTGTGCAGGGTATCGTATTCGTGTTCGCGTTCGCGCTAATTTGTTATTTGGGTCATAGTGCAGGTAGTGCGTCGATGGGCTGGTGAATATGCACTCTGGATGCACTTTGGATGTGCTTTGAACGCGAAGATATTAAAATCACTTGCAGCATCTCGAAGTGGCCACAGGGTGGGTAATGTCGTCCAAATAGAGTACTGTCTAAGAGGATATGGCTTTGGGGTACTAGGGCCACCTGCCCCATCCGTACTTTCTCCGCATGAGCTGAGGGCAATTTGGACCCGACAAGATGGATACGTCTGAGTCCATCTGCGACTACATAGCACTCTGAAATTTTCCGTCTCACTTTGCGTCTACGATGAGGGGTTTTCGCGAGAAAAAAGGAGCAGGGGAGAGAGACGCCTTCGCATCGGGCCACTTCCCCTCATTGCCTTCTCACGACATTACAGCATGGCATGGCTGCCTGACACAGTGCGTGACCATCGGATTCACCCACGCAGTTGGCCCCCAAGCCAGACGGGGAGGACCACGTCGGCGCCACTCTTGAAATAGTGCCATGTTGGGCAAAACCTTACAGGATAGGCGCCAGATTAACACGTCCACGCTGCATGGTCGCCAACCAAGGATTGCGATATTGCGGGAATGCTCCTAAACACCCCGGCCCTGGAGGAAAAAGCAAGTCTTATCACCAGCTTCCGGTATGGCGCAGACGGGAGTGGATGTCGAGTTGCCGCCCGATACATGGGGGAGAGACTGGGGTAAGCGAAGATTGGGGGCCAGAATCCAAAAGACACGATACGGGCGAAGGCATTTGCCGGGCCCGGCGCAAGCCCTTGTACACCTCCCTGTCATCCAAGGCCGTAGGAGTGTTTTAGACAGGGCAAAAGCAGAGCCGTCAGTTGAAGCCAATATGACGGATGGAGGCCACGGATGCGATGGAGAGGCCAAGTGCAGACAAAGACATGTTTGCTTTGTGCTCGCTTGCCAGTTGGTCCTGACATGGCAGGGACTGGTCGGCCCCGGGCCCGGGCCCGGCTCGTCGTCCATGGTGTCGCAAGTCCGCGGCCATGGGTGACGGTACCTTGTGGGCTAGCCTCTGGAGATGAGACAGCGCTTCCTTGCAACGCACGCCAGCGCGCAAACATGGTTTCGGTACCACGATAATGGGCAAGCTTTAGCGATGGCAGTCGAGGTAAAGTCCAAGTGTGTATGTTGATATGTACGGTAGATGTGTACAGACGTATACACATACGTGTAGATGTGCCAGCGCCTTTGACGGCCCTTGCAGCTACGGGCGGTGCTTGCATACTTGGGCTTGCCAGCGTTAGGGTGAGTGAGGGCACTGCTTCGGGAAGTTTCAGAAGAGGCATGTTTGCGAATCCGAACCCTGATTGCGAAGCCGGCATCGATCGCGGTTGGATGCTTCCTAGAGGTGTGTGTGTGTACAAGTGCATGGGCGCGTCATCTTCCTTGCCATTTGTAGGTCCGGGCCAACTCAATGTGTGTAGTAGAGTGTGCAAGCAGAGTGAGTGTGTGTGTATGTGCTCTCACCTCCTCTGGGCATTGGTGCGCATGCGGGGCGAAGGGGGAGGGGGTGGCCACATGATGAGGCTCTGTGGAGGACATGGATAGCGAGATGAATGGTTAGTGATGCAGGCAAATGGGCGTGGAAGTGGGCGGCCAAAGTCGTACGTTTGTTGTGCATGCTTGTCCACTCTTGGCCCTTGATATGTCTCGCAGCCATGGTGTCGCTCCGCTTGCGCTCACGGGGCGCGGGAAGGATCAGCGACCCATTTGGCCGGGTCTTGCTCTCCCTCTTCTGGGTCGGTGGCTTGGCTGCGGGGTCACTTGCTTTTAGGCGAGCCCGAAACCGACCACCAAACTTTGGCCCATCGGCCCATCCATACTCACGGTGAGCCCACGCAACGGCCGTCGATAACTAACCTGGCGTCTCTGTGAACCCACAACGGCCATTCGCCAGCCACTAGCCTGGCTCCGAGTCTCATCGCCCCTCTCCTCCATGGCATACGGTACTGCTGCGGTCATGCCAAAAATGGCTCCCCAAGCTCGCCCAAGGGCACGAGGCAGTGAGGGAAAGAGGGGGGTACAGCGCCATCGCAATCGAACCAGCCAGCAATCGAGCCCAAGGTCGTGGACCGGTTGTCGCTCCCCCCTCGGATCGTTCGTGTCGCATGAGCCCAGATGCTGGTTGCTGCTTGACGCTCGGTGCCAAACTGCTGGTATTCTCCTAGCAGGCATCGCTTGCTGATCACCCGTCCAGGTGGCTTTGAACGGCCCATGTGTCTAAAGGTACACACCACCACACCCACCTCCACCACCACCGACTGTTCAAAAACGGGCGGCCACAGAGTGATCTTAGCACTCTTCCCCCGTTGTAGGCGACGCCCTTGCCAAATCCGACCCAATCAACCGCTAACCAGCGCGAAGCCAGTACCGCCCGCCCTTGAGAACGATAATGAGAACGAAATCAGACCATTGGAGTCACTTTAGTGCCGATTACACACATACGGCTCTTGCTACTGCTCTGCCCAGCCTCTATGGGCGCACTGAATCTTGGGGCCCATCCAAGCATGACTTGAGGAGCTTAAATCCCCTTTTTCGGAGGGGGGGGGGTCAAGATGAGCGCCATTGCCACCATCGCCTGTCTCGACACTGCTGGCAGCGGCAAAAGCCGCTTCGCCTAAACACATGCCCAACAGGCCTGCACACACACATTGGAGCCGCTATGACCGCCTGCGCCCTTTGATCTTCGATTGTATCGACTTGTGTAGAGTACATTCAAACTTTGTCAACTTGCAACACGTCACGGGCCGCACGGCTGCCTGCACACTGGCGCATGCGATTATCATCACTCAATCTATATTTTCAAGATGCCATGTTCGACACAGACGCAAATGACTTGACTTCTGCATGCTGGCGGTACGTAGCGCTACTGCTGTCGGCCCTTTCCTCCGCAAGTGCAGCTTCACAGCAAGCAGGGCCAATGCCAGTCACGGAGCGATCTGGACTACGGCCACAGTCTGGGGCGGAGCGTCCCATGTCCTGTTGTGTCATTCACGCACACACACACAAACATGCTCAGGGAGCACCGACCCCTGATCCCTGAGGGGCCTAGAGCATGCACCCATCTCACCGGGTGCTGCAGTAAAAGACTGGCAACCAGAGTGCCTGTGGCGGTGCACAATCACAGCACTGAGACAGGCTGTCTTTCTCCTGCAGTAGTTTCATTGCGCCCTTGGCCTCTCTGACTGCACGATCACGATACTGGCGTTGGCGCGGTCGGATTACAGTATCGATTGCGTACAGGAAATCAAACGACCCCACGGACATTGCATCCTGCGGGCCGCAGGACCAAAATAGTTCGTCGTCTTGCATATCACAAGTCACAGACAGATGGTATTGGAGGTGGACCAACCATCAGGCAGCATGCACAAACCCAAAACTGTCCTGGTACACGGCCTTCATTACCGCATCGACTGTGACGGTGATTTTGTAGACTATTTTAGTCTGGATTGGGGAAGTGGTGCGATTCGATCGTCGGGCTCATCATCGCGGCGCGAAGGTTGCGATAAGCGTGCCCTTTGCGCGCCACCTGGAGTACCTTTCGTGGAGCAGCAAACAGCACCAGCACCAGCAACAACAAAGTTACGTATCGAGTTGCGACGCTGACGCTTTTAGACAGGTGGGCCCATAGTTGAGAAGTAAGCAATCAAGTAAAAAGTAGGAGTAGCGAGGTCGAGCGCGTGTGGAGCAGGGGTGCAAGATTAGATTGTCCATCTGCATCGGGTACGGTAACACAGTCAATAATCATGCGCATTTGTACGTGGTATGCTCCAGGAGGGTATACTCAGCAGGCGTGCTGGTTCCAGAAGAGCCTGCGGTTCGTGGATTGAACAACCTTATCCACCGCGTCGGGCCATGGGCGCTCAGGGACCCAGCGAAGCAGGTTGGGTTGCTACGCTGACTGTCGAGATTACTTATGCGTGGACATGGTACGGAACATGAGGTCCGTGTGTGACAGGCAGGATGGCCTCGGTACCCTGAGATGGCAAGAATTAAGGCGTGGGAGGGCACAGAGCGAAGGGCGACCTGGCAGGACGCACTGAGGGAGATTGGTACGGCGACCATACACCCCACATGCAGGCCGTCTGATACTCTAACCGGGACAAGGCGGGGTGTAATTACCTGCCATGTTCGCATCCAAATCATGTGCAGGTGGCCGTCACATGGGATAGGATCCAGTAGACGGCGACCTCTCCTGCATATAACCCCCTCTTGTCTAACAAACGACAGATAGCAGGCTGGCAGGCAGGCTGGCTGGCAACCAGGCTGTGATTATTCAGAAGAACGGATCACGCCACGTAGCACACAGTTGTAGGTGTGTAGCCTCGCATTGTGCTCACCGCGACGGTCAGAGTGTCGTTGTAGACGAGGATGCATTGCAACATGTGCTGGTGCTGCTGGTGCTGGTGCTACTACTGCATCAGCGAGTCCCACAGACGACGATGATACCGTAGGAAACGCGGTGAGGTCAGCACGCTGCGATGCCTGCCAGAGGGACCGCCAGACGGGGGGTGAGAGGGGTGAGGGGGCAGGGCAGGCGCTGCGCCCGCTGAGCCCCACGAGCAGACTCGCTTAGCTGCCCCGTTGCAGGCAATGCTCGGGCACTCCAAAGGACCGGTAAAATTAGCAGCACCGCCACTAGCCAATCAGTATCCCGAATCTTGCACAGCCGCTCACCAGCCACAGATCTTGAGCACTGTGAACCGGGCAGAGCGAGACGGTCGCCAATCACACACACTACTGACGCCAGGCCTGTGGAATGGCAGCCCATGGCTTCATGCCTCCCATGGCTCCCCGACTGGAGCGGTCATCTAGCGTACGCTTTGCTTCAGGGGCCATCCCGAATCCGCTTGTCTTTGCCAGAAACAGCCTGGACGCTCCCGCCCTCTGCACGCCTACTCGCTGGCGCTGCTCTGCCCCTCGTTACTTTCGGTATGGCCTGCTCACCAGGTGGCCCGACTCGCGCAGACGGGGGTCGGGCACACCGCGACTGCTGCCAGCCTAGCCTACCACAAAGCGGTCGGGGCGCGCGATCGAGGCGGGGAGCAGAATGGACGGCGGCCGGTAACTTGTGCCTTCTTTTATTTTTCTTAGCGTGGCCTGACTGCTCCAAAACAGCCACCTCATGCTAGAGGCCCAGGCGCCCGTAGGGCAGCATACCCTCGAGGCAGGGGATGCCATGCCGCCCTGGTGGCTTCGTGCACTCCATCCCGCTGGGGGCCACTTTGGTCCTGTCTCTGGCCTCGTGTATAAACCGACTTCGCCCCCGAGGCATCGTTCCTCCAGTCCAGGCCTCAGATCAACAGTACCCATTTCTTTGTTGAGATCTCTCCGACGCCCTGGTTTGCCCTGCTCGACCACACCCGCTCCCGCTTCACCACTTGTCCCTCGCTTCTTCAGCTAGCCTCAGGCTCCTCGACGGGACTACGTGCTGTCACTCCCGTAGCCGGAAACAGTACAGGATCGGCAAAAAGCATCGACGATACTCACACATCGCCGACCCATACGTCAAGTCGACACATTGATCGACACGCTCTCGACGAGGGTAAGCTTTCCCCTGCCGGTCCCTCTAATTTGCGCTACCAACCAAAACCACGGCGATCCTGATTGCTCGGTTTCCGTGCTTATGCTGACCCTGCCTGCGCAAATAGGCATCAAGCTGCTCCTCCATCTGTAGCTTTTCCATTCCCTATTGCTTCACACACTGCATCCTCCATCATGGTCGACTACGCTCCATACACGCCTGGCATGGCTCACGACTTCGAGCTCTACTCTCACTCTCAGGAACAACACATTGACTACCACCAAAGTCAACCCTTTATGCCTGTCTCAACATTTGGTATGGATCACACCTTCACCGCACCCTTTGACCAGATGGCTCCTCTTGCAGACGCCCCAAGGCTGCAAGACCTCCAGTTCCACTACGACGCCATTGCCCAAGGTGTCAAGCCATCATACCAGTACCAGACACCAGCAGGATCCCCTCACTCAATATCAAACTCCTTTCATGAGATGCCTCCTGTCTTGTCAGCTTCATCAGAGTCTGGTGCTTCAGTGTCCTCATCTGCTGTAGGCTCCCCATCACTTGTACCCCAATTCACCGAGCCTTGGAACCCAATGCCTATGGGCGGACTCACATCTGGTTTTGAGTACTCAGGCATGGTTGCAAACGACAAGTCGTATGTGGGTAAGTCACTGGTTTCTTCCATAGCCGTTTCTTCTTTTTCATTATCTTCTTCTTCTGTTCCATCTCCAACCCCCGAGCAAAATGTCTTCAAAACACCTGTCACTCCAGCCTCGGCGACTCGGTCAACTGTGAGGTCGAACTCTTTTCTTTGTCACAAAACCTATCCACGCAACTCTCCGTCACTCCGTTTTTCTTCTGTTACATCAGTGCCGCGTTTTTCTCAATTCTCTCCATCTTGTTGGTCACCTTCCATTTCAAGAGACTCTTAGAGACTAACGTGCTGCAAGCAGATCCTAATCTCATTCAGCCTTTTGCATTCGCTCCTCAGAGCCCTTATCCTGAGATCAGGACCACACCCTCCCCTTACTTCCCAGTCATTGAGCAACCACCATCCCCAGCCCTGTCGCAGTTCTCTTCATATAGCCAGCGACCAGGCTCCGCACGGATCAAGAAGTCTAGCACTAGCCCATACCTCCACACTCAACAATACCAACCGTACCCCAAGTACAACGGCCAACGGCGAAGCTCAGTGAACTCCCTCCACTCACAAAACTCTGGCACAAGCCGCAAGAGCTCTAGCAGCTACGATGTAGACGATGAGACACGGGAGAAGGGCATGTGCCCACTCCCAGAGTGCGGACGTGTTTTCAAAGATCTCAAGGCACACATGCTCACCCACCAAAACGAGAGGCCCGAAAAGTGCCCGATCACCACTTGCGAGTACCACGTCAAGGGCTTTGCAAGGAAGTACGACAAGAACCGACACACTCTTACTCACTACAAGGGCACCATGGTTTGTGGTTTCTGTCCAGGCAGTGGCTCAGCGGCTGAGAAGTCGTTCAACCGCGCCGATGTCTTCAAGAGGCATCTCACATCAGTTCATGGCGTTGAGCAAAACCCTCCCAACAGCCGCAAGAAGAGCTCCGCGAGCCGCAAGTCATTTGGCAGTTCGCAGCCCAGCGTTGCCGGCACTTGCTCCACTTGTTCAGTAACATTTGCCAACGCGCAAGAGTTCTATGAGCATTTGGACGACTGCGTGCTGCGCGTCGTGCAGCAAACCGACCCCACAGAGGCCATCAACCAGCGTCTCCTTACCTCTGTTGCAGAGGACAAGAACGTCACCGAAACCCTAGACCGAAATGGCCTGTCCAAGAGCATCGAGTACACAATCCCCAAGTATGAGGACGATGATGAGGATGACTTCGAAGAGGAGGAGGTAGACAACGATGACCAAGATGATGCTACTTGGGGCAGCCGCTACACCCGCTCAGGCAGGGGTAGCATCAAGTCTACCAAGTCGCATTGACAATCAACACATCCCCGAGGTGTCGGCGCAACGCAGCACGTCGGGGGTGGCAACGCAACCCAGCACATTTCTTCTGCCCGCGTCACCAAGTCTAGTCCACGCGCTGGCCTCACCTTCTCCAAAGGTGGTGTGGCCATTACTGGCTCCGGACGCAAGAAGCGCAAAAACTACCCCGTCTCTTGGGGCTGCGCTACCGACAAGATGAAGATGAAGAAGCGCGTCTTGTGTGTGTACGACGGTCAACGCAGATTGTGGAAAGACGACATGATGCTTGACCAAGAGTTCGAAGTACGCATGAAGCTGCCCGATGGCAAGGCGTATGTCACGGACCTGGATGTGCAGACGCTCAACCGCGCTGAGGCGGTGCATGGTGCCACTGCTGAGGAGAGGGGCGTCTGGGTACCTGACAACATCATCTCGAGTGGTGCTCCATCCATGGAGACGATGCCGCTTGAGTGGACGGTGTAAAAAACATGTTGGTACAAACAGCATTTGAATATTTCTTCTCCCTTCGACTGGAGCGTTCTCGAGCGAATCCTTGGCCCGTTTCTTTTTGGCGGATACCAAAGGACGCAAAGCGAACAAAAAAAGGGTCGCCTGGCGGGCATCATGGTCGACTCGTACACTGACACGGCTAATGACATGTGATGACGAAACCTTCTTTGTTGTACTACCAAAGCATTTGTTTTTGTTTCTTTTTCTTATTCAACCGATACCACTGGGCTCTACTCTTTTCTTGCTTTCTTCTTCTTCTGGCTTGTTGGCGTTGACAAGGGAGAGGACAGAAGGGATTAATAAGTGGCTACTTATGTATGAACGAAAAGGGCATATCTGTACGTGGCTGGCCGCGAGAAGATGTAGTTTTCTCCGAATCCATATATCAATCCATCTATGATAATTTCAACCACTGTCCAATGCTTGCAAATTGCTACCTCGTCATGAGTTGTGCTGGTGAAACGCAGCGAGGCAAAAGCGAAGGGGTCTGTGCTTAGTCATGGCGCAATGCGCCCCGCCGTGGGGAAGGCAGCAGCGATGGGGACAGCTTGGAGCTTACAGCAATCAACTGCCTATCCGCCCGCTTTCCCGACGCCGCAGACACGACACACACACAACACGCGACACACAAAACACGACAACCAACACAATGGCGTCGAGTATTGAGCAGTCGCCCTTCTTCCAGCAGCAGAAGGCCAAGGGCGAAATCGTCGTCAAGGGTATGATGTCAACCATTACCCTGTCGTGGGGTATGCAGTGCTAAATGTGTTAGACCCTCCCAAATTCGACCTGGAGTCGTATATCGCTAACTACACTGGTATGGCTCTTGCACCCTAAATCCGATACTCAAATAGTCCTCATGTCTTCTGGTAGGCTACACGCGAATCGACCGCCTCCATCACATTGGTGCCCACTCTCCGTACCTTGCTGTCGATGCATATCGCATGGCCATTGCCGAAACAAAAAAAGGTAAGAACGTTGCGTTGTATACAAGATTAGTCGAGGATTTCAGCAGCATTGCCCCGAATGACTCTGCTGCGTTGGTGGACACAACTTGGGCGGAGAAGAAGACACGGG